TTGCTTTCAAAAAACAGAAGGGTAAAGTGTTGTTACTATTCTAAAGTGTAAATACTCTCTACCAGGGATTATGATAAGCAATCTACTAAGTTTTAAAAAACAATTAAATTATACCCAAAGTGTTACTGTACATATTTATTAAAACAAAACCATTAATTTGCATTGTAAGAAAAAGCTGCTTGTAGCTGTGAAACAGATGTCAGGACCAAGGCCAGCACCTTGTACAGAGAAGTACATTCCTTCAAGAGGATCACAGTGCCATCTAGAGGATTTAGCAAAAATATATTTTCTCGTCATTCTCTGAAGATTTCCAAAAATCTAGAGCATAAACATGTGTGCATATTAATTTAATAGTCTAAACAACCGTTTTATGTTTAATTTGTTGGAGAAACTCAATGGCTCATTCACAATTCCCCTTTCTCTGTTCTGTTTTTTATGTTTCATGCACAATTACCAGGAATCTGCTGTTAAATTAAACATCATCCTGGAACACCATTGTGTGACCTTATTTTTTTGCTCTTACTGTTCTGATTTAAAGCTCATGACGGTAAAAACATGTTCTAAATTGCAAATTCATTCTGGCTAATTATGGGGCAGGCAGAAATGGAAAACAAGGGAAATTGAGCAATGTTTTACGCGAGCAATGTGATTAAAAATTCACACCGGAAAAAGTAAAATTCTGATGTTGTACCTTATAGTCCAGGCCATCAGAGCAGTTGAAAACCACACACTGGATTGCCAGTGCCTTGGCCAGGTCTTTAGTGGTCTCTGTCTTGCCAGTACCAGCAGGTCCAGCTGGAGCTCCTCCCAAATCAAGCTGCAGAGCTCCCATCAAGCAAAGGTAGCAGCGGTCCTAGCAGTGAAAAAAACACAGATCATTATGAGATAATGGATACCATCCAATTCAATGGCACAAGAACATTGTGAAGTTGGTGCCCCATGAATAACTATAGACTCCCTAATAGACTTATATACATATAACCTATATACTTAAGGACAAGAAAGACTTAGGCAAGCTGCTTTAAAGATTGGCAAACACAAGGAAAATTAATGCAATTTATTCTTTTTTAGTGGAGATCTAAAATTATAATAGTTTAGAACACCTTCATTTGCATACTGACTTTTGTAGCTGTGACACTTGTAATTATTCAGAATTTTGTGTGTGCCAGTGCAGCATGGCTGCAATTATTAATCTTGACAGTGGTTTTATGAAATAAAAAAGGCATCGCAGTGCTTTATCAAGATGATATGCACCTAACATGTATTTTTATTAATAGTCTTGATTAATTAGGAATAGAACAGACCCCTGACCTTATAATGCCAAACATACATGCTACTGTTGAACTTATTCTGTTTGATTTTATTTAAAGGAATGCTTAGTGGTTTGAATAATTATCTCTCTCATGTCTTGACTTTTGAGACGATGACAAATATGACATTGCTCTGAACAATTCAACTATTAAAAGTTACACTTTTTTAATCAAGAAATAGACATCCAATCTATACAATGTTATTCTTATTCTTTTTATCTTGTTAAAAAGCCAAAATAAATAAATGGGCTGTTATTATTAGAGACTAACTTAAAATATGGTCACTTAACTAAACTATAGTTTATTAATTTATTACAAATGTATTACAACAAAGTTAATATGATTAAAGATTTTCCAAAGTAGTACTTTAACATGGTTGATGTTAAATCTCTTCTTTTTTAATCCAGATGAGATGTACTGTATACTGTATATGATGTGCTCTGTTCCTATTGTATTTCATCTCATTGGGTGTTTGAATAAATCTGGAGGTCACTGTATATACTGTATGCAATCTTTAGCCTAAAGAGATCCTGCTAGATTAGCTGCAAAATAAATATAAGTCTTTAATTTAACAATTAACCTTTTATATCTCACATGGGGCATTTCATGATCAAACTCTGCAAAAGAGAAGAGTAGGATGCCAAAGGCAAACAAGCCTGAACTAAGTGAATGCTCGTTGGCACAGTTCTATTAATAATTATAATTAAACATGCCACCCCATGGCACGTAAATGCATTCAAATCCACAAGAGGCTTAAAGTCATTAGTGCTGTTATGTAATACTTTAAACATCTGTGGTTATACTAATTAGAACATGTCCAACTTGACAGCAAACTATTTCTAAAAAATAAAAAACTCCACTTGCAACTGCAACTGCCCCTGTTACAAAGCTACAGTAGCTGATTAGACATAAATATCATATTGACACTATCCAATCATAGACTTCTCCCGTTAACTCTCTTTAAAACTAGAAACATTAAAGAGTTTTGTCTTTCCTTCAGAAAAAGGTAATACAGTACCACATAGTGGCAAATTATTATATCCTTAATCATTTTATCGTGTTAAAAAACAAAGAAAATGAAATGAGGCACTATTATTACAGACTTACATAAACTATGGTTACATTATTTATCACTTTATGACAAATACATTGCAACAAATTTAACATGAACAAAGCTTTCAGAAAATAGTAGTTAAACATGTTTGTTGCTAAATCTTCTTTTTTAACCCAGACGAGATGACTGTTCTTTTTTGGTCGTTCTCTTTAGCTATAGAACATACGAATCATTTTTGTTTTTTTTAAGAACAGTTTAGAACATTCAGGGCCTTAACTGTGAATGATGCCAAAGAGACAATCTACAGTACAAGACCTCAAACATTGCCAGTATCCACTTATATGATTTGCAT